GAAAATGCTAGTTGCCTGGCTGTTTCTGACCTTATTACTTTAAGCCACTGCCTAACAAGCATAATGCTAGTAAAACCAGAAGCTAGTCAGAAAAATCAAAATCTTTGGTTCAACATAATATCTAGGCAAGTAGCATTCTGAAGAATTCAATAATGACAGCCTATGTTTTTTCCTGGGTACAGGTTTCCCATAAAGGTGACCTTACATGGAATCATTGGTCTCCAAATTGCGGCCTGGGGGCCAGATGCTGCCCTTTGCTTGCTTTTTGCTGGCCCTTGGGACATTTTTCCCCCCACTGTCAACAAGAGAGGCATCGTTCCTGCTACTGACACCAACAGTGGGGCACTATTCCTCCCACCGACACCAATGATGGGCACTATTCCTCCCACTGACACCAACAATGGGGCACTATTCCTCCCCCTAATACTAACAATGGGGCACTATTCCTCCCCCTAATACCGACAATGGGACACTATTCCTTCCTTTGACACCAACAGTGGGGCCCTATTCCTTCCACTAATACCAAAGAGGGATCATTGTTTACTCCCATGAACACCAGGATATTTTCTACTCATGCTGGCCACAGTCTGGACCCCCTAAAGTTTGAAGGACAGTAAACTGGCTCTTTGTTTAGAATGTTGTTTAGAATGTTTGCTACCCTTGGCCTAGGTCAGTGGTCGGCAAGCCGCGGCTCGCGAGCCACATGCGGCTCTTTACACACTTTAATGCGGCTCTTCTGTGTGCTGGGCGCCCGCTCCCCTCCCTCCTCTCGGGCGGCCGCCCCAAAAGTCAGGACTCTGCAGCTAGCCCAGCAATGGGCAAACTACGGCCCGGCGGACCATTTAATCCGGCCCGCGGAGCGTGGCAAACATTGGCTGTCAGGATGTAGGCGGGGCAGCGTGACGAACTCCTCTCCTCTCACAGTCCGCCCTGAAGACCGGAACGGCGCGGGAACACGGCGAGAGGAACGCGCGGAGCAAAGCTAAGTGAATTGACACAATATTGGGAAAGAATTACTATAGGGGGGATGAATTACTATAGGGGGGATGAATTACTATATGGGGGATGAATTACTATGGGGGATGAATTACTATATGGGGATTAATTACTATGGGGGATGAATTACTATATGGGGGATGAATTACTATGGGGGATGAATATGGGGGATGAATTTATATGGGGGATGAATTACTATATGGGGGATGAATTTCTATATGGGGGATGAATTACTATGGGGGATGAATTACTATATGGGGGATGAATTACTATATGGGGGATGAATTACTATGGGGGATGAATTACTATATGGGGGATGAATTACTATGGGGGATGAATTACTATATGGGGGATGAATTACTATGGGGGATGAATTACTATATGGGGGATGAATTACTATGGGGGATGAATTACTATATGGGAGATGAATTACTATGGGGGATGAATTACTATATGGGGGATGAATTACTATGGGGGATGAATTACTATATGGGGGATGAATTACTATATGGGGGATGAATTACTATGGGGGATGAATTACTATATGGGGGATGAATTACTATGGGGGATGAATTACTATATGGGGGATGAATTACTATGGGGGATGAATTACTATATGGGGGATGAATTACTATGGGGGATGAATTACTATGGGGGATGAATTACTATGGGGGATGAATTACTATATGGGGGATGAATTACTATATGGGGGATGAATTACTATGGGGGATGAATTACTATGGGGGATGAATTACTATATGGGGGATGTATTTTCAGTTTTAAAAATGTGGCTCTCAAAATAAATTTCAATCGTGGTTTTGGCGAGATTTGGCTCAGTTGAAAAAAAAGGTTGCCCACCACTGGCCTAGGTGATAGCTTCACACCAGCTGTATGAAAAAAGTTACATGAAAAATAAAACATTTTAAAATAACAAATGCCTTTGTAACCCAGCTTTCCAATGCTTCTAGGAGGCGCAGGTGATGTCATTGTTGCATACTGAGAGAACTGGGTCATGAAATCTCAGGAAAATGTGCTCCATCACAATGAAGGAGAACCTTCTTCTGGAATCTGGAGCACCCAGCTCTACCCACAGTTACGTCACCTGTGACTCCTAGAAACAGCAGCAGTTGGATCCCAAGGTAAGGTTTGTTTGTTTTTTGTTGTTTTTTTAATGCTATATTTCTGTAGAAGGCCTGTTTTGAAGGATATTTCTACCCAGATGCATTTTCTCTTGTTTCCAGGTAAGTAGTTACTTTAGAAAGCAAGTGTACATTCCCCCTAGATAATAATTTTCATGATGAGTCAGAAGTTCTCCTCTGCATTTTTTTTTTAAATGAAAGGCAGCAATAAAGCAGCTGTTACAATTACAACACAAGAAGAATACACAATGCTGTGCCACTTGTAACATGTAAATGACTTTGAAGGGAGGACTTGCACCTTTTTCCAGAATAACTAAGTTTCAGGAAATCTGCAATTGGATTAGGAATCTTTTTGGCTACTTCATGAATCTCACAGATCTAGTTTTCAACATGAAACTGTACATCTATAATAAAACTAACAATATATAAATTAAAAAGATATATAATACAGTAAAGAGGAGAATATTAAGGGTTGTGCAATGCATCAAATAAGCAACACTGACATAAGTAATTATGTCCATGTTTTCTGTCCACCTTGGCGAACTCCAAGGACGCTTTAAAAGATGAGTAGCGACTGTCCTATCCAGAAGAAGTGAATTTCAGCTGTTCTTGATAGTCCAAGACAGCTATGTTCAATGAATGTAGAAATAGAACAGCCAATGTTTCTCACACATGGAGAAATAAAAATTTCAAGTCATAAGAGTAAAAACGTAAAACTAGATTTGATCAACAAAATGCACACTGCCACGGTTAGAAGTCCTTCTCACAGAGGTTCTCTGGACATCTCCATTTCTGGTGGATGGTCTTTCTGGAAACTCCTGCATTTGGACTTCTCCATTCTGAGGCATGAAGGTAACTCCATTTCTTTCTTTGAAAACATTGCCTTTAATGATAAAAGGTATGCTTGTGAAAAGACCAAACTTTAAGATTATTTATAAAAAATTTTACTCACGATTCACACATCTTTCACCCAGAATTCAAACATTTCACCAATTAAATTGAATTAGAAAAATTGGTGAATCTTTGGGAGAAGTTGTGTCAATCTTGTGTGAAAACATTTATAAACCACTTTGTGTCTTACAAAACCAAATTATAATGTAGGAATGAATACAACCTTTAAGAAACATTGACTAAGGCAACATAGTGGATCATTTTCAATGGCTCAATGGATCATATAAAAGGTGGTCACATGGTCTCTCTTAATGGGGTCTTGGGAGAGTGATGTTCAAGTTGAGTAGACAAGTGAGGTGCTTTGCCTATACTCCGTTCCTCTCTTTTTGCAGAGGACACATGACCAGTGCCTCAAATTACCTATTTATCTGGGTATTTAGCACTTAATTATATATAAAAATAATTAGCCTATAATTTTTCCAGAGGGAGAGGGTTTAGAGGAAAGATCAAGGGGCATTAAACACAGAACACAAATAAGAAAATGAATATTATTGTTAGTTGACGGGTTGAGCATACTTGTGTCTTAAGAGCCAGAGAACAGAGCCTGTGAGAGCAAGAGACTGAGCTACAGGGAGTCACTGTGTCTTTGGACCAGAGCTGGGGAGACCAGATGCCATGTTTGCATACCTCATGAGGATCTGATTGGTGAGGACTTGATTGGGTGGACCTGATCGTGAGGACTGAGACTTCAAAGACAATAGACTGCTAAGTTATCTGAACCAGATTCCTATGTTCCAGGAGTGGTGAGCTAAAAATTCTGTACTTATCTCAACACTGAGACAGTTAATGTATAAGAGACTGTTCGTTTAGCAGCCCATCAACCATCTACTGCACACTCTTAAAGTGATAGCTACACGTACACCACCTTACAGAAGGGCCCCAACGACAGCCAGATAACATTGACATTTATATGCCAGGTACTTATAAACACTTGCAGGGGTACCCCTTTGTCAGGAATGTATACACCCACCCACTACTGCAGCTGTATGCATAGTGTACACACCAATACCTTTATTTCTGAGTTAGTTGATGCTTTTAACCCTGCTTTCACCAGTTATAATTTGGGTTAACATCAGTATAGTTCAATTGATTGTCAGCTTATGGGTCAGTATTTAATTTATGTAGAACAGCATCTGTTTAATTGGCTGTTTATGGATTCATGCATTGTTTAAAGGATAAGGTCACCTTTTAACAACAAATAATAAATGCACATTTTTTTGCAGGTAAAAATATGGGCAATTACTATTTTTTGCTTTAGTAGAGTGGAAAGCATTGCACCAGCGATCTGCAGATTGCTAGTATCATGCAGGTCTCTTGCAGACTGTCAGTGTAATCTGTCTGCTTGTACCTCATACAAGCAGGTACTATTACACTGACAGGAAGAATCAATGAACTACCACAGCGCTCAGCAGCGCCGGGGTAGTTCATTGAGAACTAAAGTCTACAGCCACAAAGGCTAAAAAAGGTAATTTCTCATTCACAGAACTCTATGAATGAATGATGTGGCTAGGCAGACAGGGCTCTGCACGGCCACATTTTTTTAAAAATTATGACAGCTAGCGGAGGGAGAAGATCACACCTGAGGAACGAGGAATGCAGGGGTTGGTCGTACAGTAACATGTTACATGCTACACCCTGAATATGGGTGTAACATGTAACATGTTACAACAGGTGAACTAATCCTTTAACTGCATTGCCTTAATACATCCTTTCCGTTCATCTATTCAGTTGCTTGTGGCCTATTTTCTGTGCATTGTTATAAAATGGTAGCATACTAATGTTTACTTTACACAGGTGTGTCAGTGGATGTCCAAGAGTCATGGCAGAATAGAGAACCCATCGTATCTAGCGGCTCCTGCAGCGGCAAGCACTACAACCACAAAAAGAATAGTATGACGTACCATTGCCATTGGGGTGCATTGAGTATTCATTGGATACTAGCGCCAAAGTCGTTGAGTTTGAGTTTGAGTTACTTGTTGACTGAATGGAGTTGCTGGAACTACTGGATACTCCTTGTTTAGAAGTTTGTTTCTTTAGTTTATTTGTTGCTGTTTTACTCCAGTCTAAATGCAGTAAATACAAAAAGCTAATGTTACAAAATAAAAAATATATCCAAGGAAATTTCATAAATTATATAATGAAAACTTCTTAATAAATGCATATTTTATATTCTATTTTTCAAAGCACTATCTCCACTAAAATTTTGACTCTGACTCTTATACGTTACTAAAACTCCTCTCAGCTCGCCCTGATAATCCATTAGGACTGTCCTGCTAGACCTCTGTCATAGCTTTCCTCTCTACACAGGCTATGCACATCACAGGTAAGGTAATCTTTAGGTTTTCAAAGACATTTGGTGCACACAAAATGCATTTTTCTCCTTTGTGAGGAACAGATTTTATATTATTATTATTATACAGGATTTATATAGCGCCAACAGTTTGCTCAGCGCTTTACAATATAAAGGGAGACAATACAGCAACGATACAGTTCAATACAAAAGGGAAAGGAGGGCCCTGCCCCTTGGAGCTTACAATCTAGGAGGGAGGGGCTAGTGGTACAAAAGGTAGTAACTGTGGGGGTTGGACTGGTTGGAAGAGTAGAAGATTCCATTATTAGCTGAGGGCAGGATAGGCTTCCTTGAAGAGATAGGTTTTCAGAGATCGCCTAAAAGTGAGCAGAGTAGGCGATAGTCTGATAAATTGGGGTAGAGACTTCCAGAGGATGGGGGAAGCTCTGGAAAAGTCCTGGAGACGAGCATGGGAGGAGGAGACAAGGGAGCTAGAGAGCAGGAGGTCTTGCGAGGAGCGGAGATTCTATATGAATGAATGAATGTTTTTGTGCCTGGAGTTCAGCTTTAATGTCAACAAATCTATGTTTAAAGCATAAGTAAACCCTCATCTTGTAAAAAAACAACTCATACAGTTTAAAATAGAAACTAAAGGTAAAAGATTCATGTATAGATATAAAAAAAAACCAAAAAAAAACAACATTATAAACACCCTTTTCTCGCTTTTTATAAGAGATCACATGCCCTTTTTTCTCAGCTGCATAGAGAGGTGAGGGTGAAGCAGCACCAGTGAATGGTTGTGTGTATATAGGGGGAGGGGGACCTGTCAGGACAAGCCTGATCATTGGAGGAGAGATGGCTGAGTTCCCAGCACAGCTAGAGAACTGACCACACTGTGCTCTCATGCCTAGGGTGGTCAGTTTTTAATGGGAAAGCAGAGGGACTGGCAGGGACACCAGGAATTTCACACAAAGGAAGCAATACAAAGAGAAGAGGAACCATTTTTTTTTGTACATGGTACAGTAGGCACATATCAGGAATATGAAATGTTGGGTTTACTTATCCTTGAATTCCCTGCAGATTTTCAAATATTGTAACGGTATATTATTTTATGGTGATATTGTTGAAGGCAAACTCCAGCCCAATCTTTTTTCAATATTTAATCAGGGTGGCGAAGGCTAAGACTTGTGTTGGATTCAAAATGCTATATGGAGAGATTTCCTTTACATCTTATTCTGTCTGATCCCCCATCACCTGGAAAGAATGTAAGGGGAAATTTCCTCAATGACTACATTTAAGCAATTAAAACTTGAGAGAGGTCCTAACTTTTTTATTTCGCTGCAAAAAACAGATTGTGTTTATTTAGTATGTTACGATCAAGGAATTTTTATGCCCACTTCCTGTTCTGTAAATGCAGTGAAAGTAGCTCTAATTCGCTCTATACAAATCTAAAAAGATATTGTCTGGAGTTGAGGTTTTTGTATTTCAGTTAGAAACCTTACCAGAGTTTTCAGCCAGTCTGAGCTTTCCACAGCAGAGATATCGTCTCCATTGTTTGCGGACATTTTCCTTTGCCACGCAGTAGAAGAAAAAAATGAAGAAACCTGAGAAAGATAGGTTATTGGAATCATTATATGATAGAGAGGTTTCTATGATTTGTATCAGAGGACTCTAAACTTTCTAAACAACAGGGCCAGTTCACTGTCCTTCAGACTTTAGGGGGGGTGGAGTTGCCAATGGAAGTAGAAAATGTCCTGTCGTCCAGTGGGAGTAAACAATCCTTATCATTGGTGTCAAGTGGAAAGAATAATGCCCAATTGTTAGTGTCAGTTGGAGGGATAGCGCCCCACTGTTAGTATCAATGGAAAGAATTCTGTACCATCATTGGTGCCAGTGGGAGGACGTGTGCCCTTTTGTTGGTGTCAATGGGAGGAATAGCGCCCCATTGTTGGTGTCAGTGAGAAGAATAGTGGCCCATCCTTGGTATCAATGGAAGGAATTGTGTCGCATCCTTGGTGTCAGTGGGAGGAAAAGTGGCCCATCTGTTGGTATCAATGGAAGGAATTGTGCTCCATTGTTGTCAGAGGGAGCAATAGCGCCCCATAGTTGGTGTTTAAAATAATTTTGTGAGAGTAACAATTTTAGAAATTTACAGATGAAGAAGTCATATTTATGTAGTAAGAGCTATAGTGTTAAAGAATATGTCCTTAAGACAAATGCATTTGATTAGTCCTACTTTAATAGACTGGAATATTAGTTTTATCTATTTATAGGCTAAAAGACTAAGGCCTCATGTACACAGGCATTAAAAAATTCTGCTTTTACAGGCATACAGCCTTTTTTGCCTGCCTCTAAATACAGTTCTATGTTAGCCTATGTGGCCATGCACATCAGGCATTTAGATCAGTATTGTTAAGAGCAGCATTTAAAGGCATACAAAAACACACACCAAAGCTGTTTGTAAAGGAGCTTACAAGCTCAATTTATGTGTGTAAACCCACATAACTGCATGCGTATGAGTGTAAGTCACCGGTCACACCGCTGTGATTTAAAATCGCGCGATCTGTGTGCAATTTCAGCGCGGTTAGCAGGTGCGAGTTCTGAAAACTTATTATCTCTACTTGTGAAGCTTTTCAATGATTTCTTTCAATTTGCAGTGCGATTTCCATTATATCCTATGTATGTGAAATCGCAACAAAACTGCAGAAAAAGTAATGCCAGAACTACTTTAGACATCACGCTGCAGCAAATCGCACATGTTAATACATCGACATTCACATTCATGAGATGTGATTTCAGGCGTGATTTCAATTTGCTAAATATATTTCTATGGACAGAAAAAATTTACTATTCTGGCCAGTAGAATTAATTTACGCTCAACCCCATACGCGCATAAATGTTGCGTACAAGTTGTGGCAGAAAAAGTGCAAATGCTGCATATTTGGAGCTTAAATTCATATTCCCATGTGCATGAGGCCTAAAGTATCAATTCATGTTTTCACAAAAAAATGTAAAGGTGAACCTACTATCTGTGCCACCTCCATCCCTGCTGCAATAACCTCCGTGGATGATTAGCTTTCACTACCCACGCAGCTGGTGCAGCGATGTGGGGATTTGAAAGCTGCTCTCTTCCTATCCTTATTTGCTTAGGGACGCTAGGACGGATCAGAGTGATTTAGACTGGCCATGATGGTCACGTGCCAGCACTGACCAGTCAGAATGCTCTGGTCTGTCTGGGCATCTCTAAGGAGAGAAAGGGAAAAAGGCCACAGCTTTCAAATCCTTGGACCGTTTCATTGACTGCATGGGCAGTGAATGCTAATCACGCACAGAGGTAAATAAAGTGAGGATCAGGGGCATGGGGAGAGTGTAATGTACTGTAGTATACAAAGAGTGGACTATCTAACCCAAGTGCAGTTCTTGGTCTGATCCTAACAAGACTTGGTCAGTAGTGATCTTAAAGAACCAAAGGGCTATCATCTAATTCCTCAGCTGTTTTATAACCAAAAACAGTGAGACTGTAAGACCAAAGAGCAATAGGTGGAGACATAAGGCAGTAGGTGGCATATTGCGGTATATGCTCTTATCAGGACTTCTGAAAGTTTAAAACAGAGTATAAGTTTAGTTTAATGTAGAAGTAAAATATTTAAAGCCACCCTTTAGTCCAATGATACATACATTCAAATATTCTGGAATCTTTTTTTAAAAGACTGCTAGTATGTATATGCCTGAATCTATGCTATTCTGAATTTAGGCAATACTATAAATATACTGTTTTATACTATCTTCCCACAATCCCAGCACAGCATAAATCAGATTAAGTATATAATGTTATGTGCACTGTGAGCCAACAAGGTTTTACTGCATTGCACAGTGCCTCCAATATAACATATTTTCAAGTACTGGAGTTTGGAGGGTAGGTGTAAAGGCCACTTACAGGAAAAACACTCAGTAAGCACATCAGCAGCAAGATTATGCTCTTTCATATACCAGTGGGTAAGCAGGTGACACCAGAAAATGCAAAGTTGAAATATTGGCATCACCCCTACAGGAGACGTGTTATTACACGAAGCACGTCTAGGAGGAGCCTCTGCACGCCTTGACGTTACGCCACCGGATCAGGAGGTCCGGTGGCCATCATTTTTATTCACTGGTCAGTGCATTTAAAGAGCTCATTCACACTATACCTGTATAGGTACTCTAACCCTGTACGTTTACTGTTTTATATTAATGATATATATATTCAATAAATACTTTTCATAATACTACACCATGAGCGTTTTCATCTCTATTACCTGGCACTGAGCCTCCACATCTCAGCCCAGCATTCTAGGAGTCCACCCAGGCAGGACAATTTGGGATATTGGTCCAGATCAACTTCTCTGGCAGCCATCACCCCATTTACCACCAGAGGGCACCTTTATCATCAGGCTATTACCTTCATGGGACCTCCGGCTTCATGGAATTTCTATGTGCACAATAAATTGCACTTCCGGTGAGTGGGCAATTTTTCTACACCTTGATGTTAAGATGCTGGAATATACCCATTTGGATTGAAGTCATTTATACTTCATCACTGGAATATACCTTTTTGGACTGATATTATATTACCTTGGATGGTTTAACATTCAGTTTATGGGATTTTTCCATTTCATATTTTGTCATATACTTTAGACAGTGTGTTTTATTTGTATAGCGCTGCACACCCTATTTTCATGTCATATTGTTAGAAAGGCTTTGTGGTTCCTTTTTTTGTGCATCAGCAGCTTTTTTTATTGGTGCGCTCGCTAATCACACATTTATAAAGTTGAAATATTGAATCGTGTTGTCACTATCCTGTCTTTGCAGTGGACAGAGGTGTATGAATCACAAGACTAGCTTAGCAGAATTATACATACATTGGTTTAGAAGAACAGTTCAAATATAAATATTAAACAAAGATATAAAAACTTTTCCCTTTCACAAATAAATGACAATAAAAAAGAAAAAAGAAAAAATACAAATAAAATAAACCAACAAAAAAGACATAAAAAACAAAACAATTGTCCAAAATATATTAGAATATCCAAAATTCAAAAATAATCCCCACAGGTGTAAATAATAATTTTCTTTCTTCTTTCACAAAAACTACTTCTCAATACCCGCAAAATCCTGATGATAGTCACCTCAAAAAGAAAAAACTTGACATAGTGTCATACCTTTTAAATAATACATCACACGTGCCACTCACTGTGCAGCATGCAAAAATCTTTATATATGTGTATACCCTATACACGAGTATCTATACACATGCACATATTTTATAGTGAATATAGATATATGTGAAACACTCTCACATAATAGTGTCCTAAGCACAAAGTGTAAAAAACAACTCCAAAATATCACTGCAAGTGTGTATCACCACACACCCTGTATACATCAGTGATCACCTAAACCCAAAACAACACTCTCCAACTCATATACTGATGGGTAATTACCCTATATAAGAAAACATCAGGGCATAACACCACTCTGGGTTAGGTTTCTCCTCATAGCGATTTCATCCAATACTAGGGTTTTTCTTCCATTATCCTCAAGAAAATCCACAGTCACAGATAATGTATAAAATATCCTCCTTTATTTGGTAACTCACATAAAATTTCAGTGAAAACAGCTCCTCCTCCAGGGATACAAGTGTAGACAGATTCAGGGAAACATTGGCCACATGTTCCCACTTCCAAGATGGCCACGATCGCACTTCCGGTCAGCGTCGATACGTCTACGTCACGTGTCCCTTGTTTTCGTCACTTCCTATGACTTTTTCAGAAGGGTAAGGACGTCCTTACCCTTCTGAAAAAGTCATAGGAAGTGACGAAACGCGGTCAGAAACACGTGACGTAGACGTATCGACGCTGACCGGAAGTGCGATCGCGGCCATCTTGGAAGTGGGACACATGTGGCCAATGTTTCCCTGAATCTGTCTACACTTGTATCCCTGTGAGGAGGAGCTGTTTTCACTGAAATTTTATGTGAGTTACCAAATAAAGGAGGATATTTTATACATTATCTGTGACTGTGGATTTTCTTGAGGATAATGGAAGAAAAACCCTAGTATTGGATGAAATCGCTATGAGGAGAAACCTAACCCAGAGTGGTGTTATGCCCTGATGTTTCTTATATAGGGTAATTACCCATCAGTATATGAGTTGGAGAGTGTTGTTTTGGGTTTAGGTGATCACTGATGTATACAGGGTGTGGTGATACACACTTGCAGTGATATTTTGGAGTTGTTTTTACACTTTGTGCTTAGGACACTATTCTATGTGAGAGTGTTTCACATATATCTATATTCACTATAAAATATGTGCATGTGTATAGATACTCGTGTATAGGGTATACACATATATAAAGATTTTTGCATGCTGCACAGTGAGTGGCACGTGTGATGTATTATTTAAAAGGTATGACACTATGTCAAGTTTTTTCTTTTTGAGGTGTACTATCATCAGGATTTGCGGGTATTGAGAAGTAGTTTTTGTGACAGAAGAAAGAAAATTATTATTTACACCTGTGGGGATTATTTTTGAATTTTGGATATTCTGATATTTTGGACAATTTTTTTTGTTTTTTATGTCTTTTTTGTTGGTTTATTTTATTTGTATTTTTCTTTTTTATTGTTATTTATTTGTGAAAGGGAAAAGTTTTATATCTTTGTTTAATTAGCCTTCAAGGGTGGAGGTGGGTAACTTTTCTGGGATATTATAAGGTGATTTGTTGCTGTGCATAAATATAAGCAAATATAAATATTGTAACTTTGTATTTTGTTACATGGCCAAAGGTTTTCACACTAGAAGAACTGTAGAAGAACAAACCTTGTAATGAGTTGAAGATGGTAAACAAGAACTGGATAACAATTTTCCCTGGTCCGAAAGAAAAGAAGCCAAGGCCCCATGTAATGCCAAGAAGGAAGGTAATTCCGGCCACACTGCGGATATCCTGGAGCATAGTTTTTTCTCTGGTAGCCTAGCTGCTTCTGTTTTTTAATGCGGCAGAGTTGTATAAGAACCACCACAAACATGCTGACATTCAGCATAAATATTATGCCAAAGTATCCAACCACTGTGATCCAGTATATAATGTCTTTCATCCAGCAACTGAAATGGGAGGAAAAACATGGGAATTTGTGCTGGTATTTTATGTAAAATTATAATTAAAATGATGTAGAATTACCTTTTTTATATAAATAACGTATGCAGTGTCCTTTCTTCACATCTTACAAATCAGAAAACCAAATACCTAATCAACTAGTTAACAACCAGGTCAACCACCTTTTCTGAAATTATTCAGATTATTGAAAAAAATAACACAAGTATAGTAAGCACAGTATTTCCACATTTTTATGCACTACCCTCTGATGAAGCTGTAAGCCTGGAAAATATAGAATTTATCCAATACTGTAGAATTTCCATCCGCCTTGCAACATGTGAACAGGACTCTGGATAGCTACTTGATAGGGACATCTACTCTAAAGGTGGCCATACATGGATCAAATTTTGGTTGGTTCAGCAGGGCCCACCCGAATTTTGATCCATGTATGGGCAGGCTGGTTGTACAGAAGTCAATCTATTGATCAGCTTCTGTACAACTAGCCATCCGGGTTTTTCCAAAACAACCAGTTTTGCTGGGGAAGTCTTCCCAATGTCAGAACACAATAGCACAGGGGGAGTGATTCCCTCATCCATCTGGTTGAATGAAAAAGATGATTATTGTATGGCAAGCATAACAAGTTGGTTAGGTGTTAACTGAGTTACTATTTCATCTGTTTGAAAGTTTGAACATTTGCTTTACTGAGCTTTGCAGCAATGTCCTGACATCCCAAGTACTGATGAGACACTTCTCTAATTCATGTACTGTAAGTGTTTACATTCCAGATTGAGCTATTGAACTTAGTATACAACATTTTTATTCAGCAATGCATATAAGGATAGCCAGTAAAATACATAAAAAATCCTAAAGCTTTAACTTCTGGTTGGAAAAGGTAAACTATTCATTCATATTAGGGCCTCGTTCACACCATACGTGCACAAAAACTGATGGAAACTGATGCACAGATTTCACTTGGAGAGACATCAGCTTTCATGTGTGCTTCATTGAGTTTTATACACGCTGCAGATTCCTGCGCAGAAAATCTGTGCATGATACTAGTGTTGTGGTGTGAACAGGGTACATAGAGAACAACTGATTTGTACTGACGTCTCTGCATCATGGTGTGAACAAGCCCTTAATAATTACTATTTTTTTTGGATGTATTTAGTTGCTTCTATACAAACTCCAAACCTGAGTTTTCAGGCCTTAAGTCATCTTATAGTTTTTTTTAGTTAATTAATATTTGCCTGAATAACAATTTTTGTAAAAAAATGTATTTTTTCACATAATAACCATATTAAGGGTAATAAATACATAATCAATCTATTTTATCATGCCTTAGTCACAGAACCAGAAACAATTCATATACATAAACATTTTGTTTTTACTGTTAATTTATTTACACTTTCAAAGCTAGTAAAAGTGCAATATTTAAAATAAACACATTTTCTGTACTTACAAATAATCTGATGCCCCATTAGGATATGGAGCACTTTTGTGAAGCTCATACAAATCTTTGTTAACGGCAAGGATAATTGCCACCACTACGGCAGGAGCTCCTGGTACAAACATAAATAATAAGTGTAAAGATAAAATGCAAACCTAATATATTTTTGTATGTTTCAAGGAAATGTCATAACAATTCCTAATAAAATGTGTGTGTATGTTTTGGGTAAGAAAGTAAATGGGGAGCATTAGCTTTACTAATTAGTGTTGGACCTCATATAGAGAGCACAGGTTCTTCTCTGTAGCATGCTGGCACAGGACAGGCTTTTCTACTCAAGTAAAAATTATGTAAAATAAATCTTTTGTTTTGATGCAACTGAATTGTATTCCGCTGCTTTAACCATAAAATGCAACTGGGCTTTAAATGTTCATGAGTCTTAGGGACAAGAGACACTTCCCATTTCCAAAAATGTTTTTAAAAAGGTCTGAAAAAATATGTACATTGCTACTTAAAGCACTGAAGCCATTGGAATCATATATCAGATGGACAGCTGGCAGATTTATTTATTTCAGGTACTTATATAACGCTATCAATTTACGCAGCTCTTTACATTTGTCATACATTCACATTTGTCCCTATCCCTCTATCTAAGGTCCCTAACTTACATTCATACATAAACATACTAGGGCCAATTTAGACAGGATCCAATTAACCTACCAGCATGTCTTTGGAGTGTGGAAGGAAACCGGAGTACCTGGAGGAAACCCACACAGGGACAGGGAGAACATGCAAACTCCAGGCAGGTGGTGCTGTGGTTGGGATTTGAACTAATGATCTTAGTACTGGCCAGGCAGAAGTGCTAACCATTTAGCCACTGTGCTATACTAAGAAATACTGTAGCAGTATACCAATGTTTTCAAGCTGAAGTCCCAGCAAACAGCTAAACACACAACTACATAAAAGGGGGTTTTAGCTGCCAAATGATCTGTATTTTTGTCCATCCATTTCCTCAATAGACATATTTCAGTTGCATTTTTATTTCTAGCTGAGATTGCCATAATATAGTTTGTCTTTCTGACCTGCTTCCAATTATTCCTCCTTTCCTAGGCTCAATTAGATCTCTTAGATCTTTTAAGATGTTGTTTGTGCTCAGGTTGTTTTGTACAGTGCAAAATATCTGAATAAGTCGTGTTCAAAAAGAGCCAAGTGCATGTGCACACAGAGGCGCTACTGCTAATATAATTCAATGAAATCTATAAGCAGCAGGTGAGCAGGGTTGAGCTCTGGCTGTAGCCATTAAAACTAGATTAATAAAAAATACCAAAGAATGCAGTGATATACTAAAGTATAAATACATACATTATAAATACAACTATAACAAGTACCTCAGTTTGAGTTGATATGAGCCTGCTATATTTCCTTGTACAGCAGCACTCAGGAAGTGGGAGAGGCAGAAGAAAAAGAGTGACATAGAGATAATCTGCTGCTGCTCCTTTGACGCTAGGTTCACATCTCTGCGGGTGGTGCAGCTGCGGATCCACACAAAAATCCGTGCAGCTGCACCACCCGCACAGAGGAATGCAGACTCGTGGGCGGATGCCATTAGTTCTAATGGCACGCCACCCGCACTGGAAAATGCGGCCGTACTGGGAACCGAGGTTCCCGTGTGGGCTGCGTTTTCAGAAGAAGTGCAGGGACTTCTTCCCTGCATGTCAGGGGTCACAGGATACCATTCACATGAATGGGCTCTCGTGCCCACGCAAAACGCGGCCTGCACGGCCGCATATATGTGAACCTAGGGTTACTTTCAGTCAGTCTGCAGGCAGATAGGTGACCTAACATTACTTTATAACTGCAGCAGAAAAAAGTCAGGTCATCAGACCGGCTGTGTTGTCTGATAGGACTGTGTAAATCTCAGGACCGGATAGACAGAATTACATATACAGGTGAAACTCGAAAAATTAGAATATCGTGCGAAAGTTCATTTATTTCAGTAATTTCAGCAACTTAAAAGGTGAAACAAATATATGAGATAGACTCATTACATGCAAAACAAGATCGTTCAAGCCGTGATTTGTTATAATTGTGATGATTATGGCTTACAGCTCATGAAAACCCAAAATTCACAATCTCAGAAAATTAGAATATTGTGAAAAGGTGCAATATTCTCGGCTCAAAGTGTCCCACTCTAATCAGCTAATTAAGCCATAACACCTGTAAATGGGTTCCTGAGCCTTTAAATGGTCTCTCAGTCTGGTTCAGTGGGAATCACAATCATGGGAAAGACTGCTGACCTGACAGTTGTACAGAAAACCATCATTGACACCCTCCATAAGGAGGGAAAGCCTCACAAGGTAATTGCAAAAGAAGTTGGATGTTCCCAAAGTGCTGTATCAAAGCACATTAATAGAAAGTTATGTGGAAGGGAAAAGTGTGGAAGAAAAAGGTGCACAAGCAGCAGGGATGACCGCAGCCTGGAGAGGATTGCCAGGAAAAGGCCATTCAAAAGTGTTGGGGACTTTCACAAGGAGTGGACTGAGGCTGAAGTCAGTGCATCAAGAGCCACCACACACAGACTGATCCCGGAATGGGCTTCAAATGTCGTATTCCTCTTGTCAAGCCGCTCCTGAACAAACAACGTCAGCAGCGTCTTACCTAAGCTAAAGAAAAAAAGACCTGGTTTGTTGCTCAGTGGTCCAAAGTCCAATTTTCTGATGAGAGCAACTTTTGCATCTCATTTGGAAACCAAGGACCCAGAGTATGGAGGAAGAATGGAGAGGTACACACTGCAAGATGCTTGAAGTCCAGTGTGAAGTTTCCACAGTCTGTGTTGATTTGGGGTCATCTGATGTCATCTGCTGGTGTTGGTCCACTGTGCTTTATTAAGTCCAGGGTCAACACAGCCGTCTACCAGGAGATTTTGGAGCACTTCATGCTTCCTTCCGCAGACGAGCTTTATGGGGATGTTGACATTATTTTCCAGCAGGGCTTGGCACCTGCCCACACTGCCAAAAGCACCAAAACCTGGTTCAATGACCGTGGGATTACTGTGCTTGATTGGCCAGCAAACTCGCCTGACCTTGGCATTGCCAAGAGAAAGATGAGAGACATGAGACCGAACAATGCAGAAGAGCTGAAGGTCGCTATTGAAGCATCCTGGTCTTCCCTATCACCTCAGCAGTGCTACAGGCTGATAGCTTCCATGCCACGCCACACTGAGGCAGTAATTGCTGCACAAGGGGCCCAAACCAAGTACTGAGTACATACAGCGAGGAACAGAAGTATTTGAACACCCTACGATTTTGCAAGTTCTCCCACTTAGAAATCATGGAGGGGTCTAAAATTCACATTGTAGGTGCATTCCCACTCTGAGAAACAGAATTAAAAAAAAAATTCAGGAAATTTTTTATATGATTTTTTGTATGATTTCTAAAGAATTTATTTGTCTTGCACTGCTGAACATAAGTATTTGAACACCTAAGAAACAGCAAGAATTCTGGCTCTCAAAGACCTGTTACGTTGCCTTTAAAAAGTCCACTTCTACTCCACTCATTAATCTCACTTAGTAGCACCTGTCTGAGCTCGTTAAAGACACCTGACCACCCCACAGTCAGTCAGACGCCAACTACTACCATGGGCAAGACCAAAGAGCTGTCAAAAGACACCAGAGACAAAATTGTGGGCCTCCACAAGGCTGGAAAGGGCTTCGGGGCAATTGCCAAGCAGCTTGGTGAAAATAGATCAACTGATGGAGCAATTGTTAAAAAATGAAAGAGGCTAAAGACGACTGTCAGTCTCCCTCAGACTGGGTCGCCATGCAAGATCTCACCTCGTGGGGTATCATTGATGATAGGAAAGGTGAGGAATCAGCCCAGAACTACAAGGGAGGAGCTGGGCAATGACACGAAGAGAGCTGGGACCACAGTTTCAAAGGTCACTCTCGGTAGAACACTACGCCGTCATGGTTTAAAATCATGCATTGCACGGAAGGTTCCCCTGCTCAAGCCATCACATGTCCAGCCCCGTCTGAAGTTTGCCAATGACCATTTGGATGATCCAGAGGAGGCATGGGGGAAAGTCATCTGGTTCGATGAGACCAAAGTAGAACATTTTGGTCTAAAACTTCACTCGTCGGAAAAAGAAGGATGAGTTGCCTCCCAAGAACACCATCCCTACTGTGAAGCATGGGGGTGGTAACATCATGCTTTGGGGGTGCTTTTCTGCGAAGGGGACAGGACAACTGCACTGTATTAAGGAGAGGATGAATGGGGCCATTTATTCTGAGATTTTGAGAAACAACCTCCTTCCCTCAGTCAGAGCATTGAAGATGGGTCATGGCTGGGTCTTCCAACATGACAACGACCCGAAGCACACAGCCAGGATAACCAAGGAGTGGCTCCGTAAGAAGCATATCAAGGTTCTGGAGTGGCCTAGCCAGTCTCCAGACCTAAATCCAATAGAACATCTTTGAAGGGAGCTGAAACTCTGTGTTGCTCAGTGACAGCCCCAAAACCTGACAGATCTAGAGGAGATCTGTGTGGAGGAGTGGGCCAAAATCCCTGTTGCAGTGTGTGCAAACCTGGTCAAGAACTACAGGAAACGTTTGACCTCTGTAATTGCAAACAAAGGCTTCTGTACCAAATATTAACACTGATTTTCTCAGGTGTTCAAATACTTATGTTCAGCAGTGGAAGACAAATAAATTCTTTAAAAATCATACAATGTGATTTCCTGAATGTTTTTTTAAATTCTGTCTCTCAGAGTGGGGATGCACCTACAATGTGAATTTCAGATCCCTCCATGATTTCTAAGTGGGAGAACTTGCAAAATGGCAGGGTGTTCAAATACTTATGTTCCTCACTGTATGCATGCTTATACTTTTCAGAGGTCCGATATTGTTCTATGTACAATCCTTGTTTTATTGATTGTATGTAATATTCTAATTTTCTGAGATTGTGGATTTGGGGTTTTCATGAGCTGTAATCCATAATCATCACAATTATGACAAATCATGACTTGAACTATCTTGCTTTGCATGTAATGAGTCTATCTCATATATTAGTTTCACCTTTTAAATTGCATTACTGATATAAATGAACTTTTGCACGATATTCTAATTTATTGAGTTTCACCTGTGCAGTAATACCTCGGTTTACGAATTTAATTCATTCTGCAGGACTTTTCATATAGCGAAAAATTCATAAACCAAAATACTGTTAAATGCTCCTAAAATACCAAATTAGTTATTTTAATAAGTAATGAGGTATTTTAGTAGTGACAACCATGTGTTAATGTTTCAGCTGTCAGCAGGGTTCCCCACTGACAGATGAATGTAAAAGAATTGCCGGCAATTAATAAAATAATTAAAAAAAAACGTGTGGGGTTCCCCCTCCCATCCATACCAAGCCCTTTGGGTCTGGTATGGATTATGAGAGGAACTCCCATGCCAAAATGTAAAAAAAAAAATGGCGTGGAGGTCCCCCCAAAAATCCACACCAGACCCTTATCTGAGCATGCAGCCCAGCAGGTCAGGAAATGGGGGGGATGAGCGAGCGCCCCCCCCCCTCCAAACAATACCAGGCCACATGCCCTCAACATGGGGGTGCTTTGGGGCAGGGGGGCTTATCGGAATCTGGAACAAGGGAGCCCCCCCAGATCCAGGCCCCTCCATGTGAATGCGTATGGGGTACATGATACCCCATACTCATTCACAAAAAAACAAAAAGTGTAGTGTGAAAAAAGACAGGACATAGTCTTCGGCAAGTCCTTTATTAAAAGAAAAAACTAAAAGAATGTCCCCCGCAGTAGATCTAACATCAATCATGATGCCCACCACCGCCGCTGCCAACCCGCAAAAAAAAAAAAAAAAGCTTCTGCGACCGATGATGGCTGCCAGCTCTCTGCCACTGAGCTGGCTTGACAGTTCTTAAATATGTAAGGGGCGAGGCCACCATCCGAGTGACCCTGCTCAATGTGACATCACTGATGATACATGGGGTGGGGTCACATGCATAACCGAGGTATCCATAAACCGAGGTATCACTGTATAGGTGTTTGACAGTTTGCTGCATTGTGGTGTGCTGACAACACAACACAATCAAAGTAAATGAGCTTTCTTATGGCAAGGCATGAGGCGACATGCATAAATGATCGTTCGTTAACCCATCGCAAGGTGTCATTGAGATCTGAAAAGGCCCTAACTGTTTGGGGAGTACTATAAACTGTAACTATAAATATATAAATACTAGTCGGGCGTATGCCAAATTATACATTTAATTGGTTGTAGCACTTTGATTTTCTGAATATGTTATTTATTACAGGTACTTACATAGCACCATCATTTTATGCAGTGCTTTACATATATATTGTACATTCACATCAGTCCCTAACCCTCAAGGGGTATACAATCTAAGGTCCCTAACTTACATTCATATACTAGGGCCAATTAAAACAGGATCTAGTTAGCCTTCCAGCATGTCTTTAGAGTGTGGGAGGAAACTGGAGTACCCAGAGGAAACCCATGCAGACATAGAGAACATGCAAACTCCAGGTGGTGACATGGATGGGATTTGAACCAACAACCTTAGTACTGCCAGGTGGAGGTGCTAACCACTTAGCCAATGTGCTCCCCAATAATGGGTGAGAAGTTATGGAGGTGTCCTTTAAATTAGGATTTGCTCATAGTGAGTTACTAGGGGTGTTTTTAGAAAAAAAAAAAAAGGATTCTTGTTTACATAGTGAAGCTTTAGGGATGAAAAGTAGTTTAATATTTTAATTTCTATTTCTGTATCAAAATTATTGCAGAATCATACAAATAAGGGTGGTATAACAGCCTCAACATTGCCCACATATTATCAGGCCTTTGTTGGACCCACTAATGTACAAATGTTTTCAGCGGTGGTTATAGGAACAAACTGTGAAAAACATCACGCTTTACTATAATTGAAAAAACATTTTACGTGTTTGAATTATCTTACAAAGCTGAAGGAGCAATGTAAAGTATAATATACTCACATAATAAAACCTTTTATGCAAGTTCACTTGAGGGCTGCAAGCAGTGGTAAAAATGTGTCTTTCTATAGTCGACTTGTGAAAGCCACACATTCCACCTTAGTATGTAAAATAGATGAAGGTCTGCTGTAGTCCCAAGGAAAGTAGCTTACTGAGAAACGTTCCATATAGTATCCAGCATCTGTTTCCAGCCCATGGGAAACATTTTTCCGAAAACTAGTAATAAGACAACACTGGGTTGTCATTTACTGGTTCAGTGTTTTAGTTGGACACAGCTCATATTCACCATAGTATTAGCCAAAGGTACACAAAGATATTAATGACCCATAATGTACCACTTTCACTATTAGCCGGAAGATAAGTCAAGAGTACAGATAAAAAATACATACCCCAACCAATGATGCAAAACTTCAATATGTATTTCCGTATATAGGTGTTGAAGACTTTTACTAGAGACAGATACATGTGGAAAGCTTCAAGACCCATCCAAGTGATGGAAACGAGGAGAAAGTAATGTAGAAATGCAGCTACAGAGATACAGAGGCCTGGAATTTCACTGTACAGTGCAATCCAGGGATCCATCAAGAATGTCAGATTCAAACCAATAAGGGCAGCACACAGCTGAATGAGGATTTTAGATGGGTAATCTCTGCGTATTTTCCTTGAAAATAAATAAAATACATGGTTAATGCAATACTTTCAGACACAGTTAACAAGATGACAGCCACATATTTAACATAGACTGCCTGTTTTTGTTTTCTAAGATGGGGATTCACTTGTATATAATTTTCATCTTCACATTCAGCCATTATTAAATATAAAAATGAAGGAACGCTATCATTGTTTAATCATTACAAAGACTATAACAAAAAATGCAAGTAGGAAAAATTGAAAATGAACAACAGATTGCAAAAGATAGTAGGACAAACAACCAAAATTTCTTAAAATATATTAATAGTAAAAATGTCTGGTCCGAGTATTTAAGCCCTTTACAAAATAATCTAGAGTGGGTGACTGGGGACAAAGAGAAGGCAAATTTATTAAATACCTTCTTCAGCTCTGTATATTCAAAGGAGCATAGGGGGGCTCTTGTCCATAATGGGCATGGTATTGACACAGCTCCAGATGATCCACATTGGCTCACAATTGATATGATGCAGAAATATTTAACCAGAATAAAGGTGAATAAAGCACCTGGACCGGATGTCATACTCCCACGAGTCCTTAAAGAATTGAGCACTGTCATTTCAAAGTCATTGTTTCTAATTTTTAGGGACTCTTTGATGACTGGCATAGTACCACTGGATTGGCGTAAGGCCAATGTGATGCCTATATTTAAAAAGGGTCAAAATCTTTACCAAAATAATTATAGACCTGTTAGTTTAACTTCTATAGTTGGGAAGATACTGGAGAATTTAATAAAAGACCACATAGATGAGTTCTTGCTGGAAAAAAATATTTTAAGCAACAGACAGAATGGATTCATGAAAAACAGAAGTTGTCAAACAAATCTGATTTCTTTTTATGAGGAGGTGAGCAAAACATTGGACAGAGGGGTGGCGGTGGATGTGGTATACTTGGATTTTTGCAAAAGTGTTTGACACAGTTCCCTACATGCGGCTAATGTGTAAGTCTATGGGCTTGGAAAATCTGCATGTACATGGACAGAAAACTGGCTAAAAGATCGTATTCAGAAAGCAGTGGTTAATGATTCATACTCTGAATGGTCTGGGGTTGGTAGTTGTGTACCCCAAGGTTCAGTCTTGGGACCCTTACTTTTTAATATATGTATAAACGATATAGTGTCTGGGATCAAAAATACCATTTGTCTTTGCAGGTGACACCAAACTATGCAGTGGAATAACTTCCTTACAGGATGTCTCCAATTTACAAGCCGACCTCAATGCACTGTTTAATTGGGCAACTATGTGGCAAATGAGGTTCAATGTGATAAATGTAAGATTATGCACTTAGGGGCTAAGAATATGCATGCATCATACATACTAGGGGGAGCACAACTGGGGGAATCAATGGTGGAGAAGGATCTGGGAGTTCTGGTAGATCACAAGCTTAATAATCGTATGCAATGCCAAGCTGCGGTTTCTAAAGCAAGCAAAATCCTTTCTTGTATTAAAAGAGGTATAGACTCCAGAGAGGGATATCATTTTACCCCTGTACAGATCATTAGTAAGACCTCATCTGGAATATGCAGTTCAATTTTGGGCACCAATTCACAAAAAGAACATTAGGGAACTGGAGAAAGTACAGAGAAGGGCAACCAAACTGATAAGAGGCATGGAGGAGCTCAGCTATGAGGAAAGATTAGAGGAACTGAATGAATTCTCTCTTGAGAAGAGGAGATTAAGGGGGGATATGATCAACATGTATAATACATCAGTGGTTCATATAGTGAACTTGGTGTAGAGTTATTCACCCTGAGGTCATCACAGAGGACAAGGGGGCACTCTTTACGTCTGGAGGAAAAGAAATTTAATCCCCAAATACAGAAAGATTTCTTCACAGTAAGAACTGTGAAAATGTGGAATAGACTCCCTTAAGCGTTCGTTCTGGCCAGCTCACTGGATTGCTTTAAAAAAAAAAAAAAAGCCTGGATTCTTTCTTGGATACACAAAATATAACTGAATACTAACATTTATAGGTAAAATTGATCCTGGGAATATCCGATTGCCTCTCTGGAGATCAGGAAGGATTTTGTTTCTCCTGCAGGAGCAAATTAGATCATGCTTTGCTGGGTTTTTTGCCTTCCTCTGGATCAACTGTGGGTATAGGATTATAACCTGTTTTTTTTTGGTTGAACTGGATGGACTTTTGTTTTTTTCAGCCAGACTAACTATGTAACTTAGTAACATTGGCTATACGTGGTTTGTTTTTGAGTGATTAGTAGTTATAGTTTGCTAGCACTGCAGATATATAGTCATTGAATATAATATTAATAATATTTCTTATATAATAATATTTCTTTCATGCATTTACTGTTTCATCTATAGTTGTAGAGAGTGGGAACATTACATTACAATTTATAAGATGGGTAAGGGTTGTAAAATCTGATAGAGTTTTTTTACTGTGTTCCCCATTAGAAAATTTTCCCTCCACTTGGTCATTAACATAGGAAGAAAAGTAAAGTCTTTCCAACCTACACAGTTAAAAGCACTATTTGGTAGAAAAGACTGATACCTCACAGTATGAATAGTTACATTGAGGTTTATTTATTAAAGTCAAATACACAGTTCACTTTGCAAGTGAAGCTTCACTTTACAAAGAATGCCCAATCACATACAAGAAAAAACAAAAAACAGCATTTTGGCTTGCACAATTGGATAATGGAAGTCAGCAGGGCTTCACCTCATTCACTAATGCGCTTGCAGAGTGCAACTGTATTTGCAAAGGGAATCATTTATTTGACTTTAGTAAATAAACCCATTGTACTTCTTCTTTTAGATTTTCAGGTAGATCCATTACTTACTCGAAGGCAATGTAAGTTACAAGAGTCACAGATAGAAATATGGCAGAAAGACCACAGCCAATATATGTGATGAAAGTCAGAATCAATTTGTACTCTGAGCTTCCAGAGTTATCAGCAGTCATGTCCTGAAAAAATAAGCACATCAAAATATGGGAATAAATAGGCAAGCACGCACAGTCAGACATTTAGGCACCCCAACTAGAACTAGCGAAGTGCTTGGAAACAGGCTAATTCATACAACATTTATAGAAAATAAGGAGACAAAGTCCTTTTTCTGCCTATTCTCTCAAACTGTTTACACTGCTCTCTGCTTTTGGGGTAAGCACATAACACTGTTCAACAAATTTTTATTTTTTGCCAGTTTTGGAAACAAAAGGATCCATTTATTAATGAATTTCACATTCTGAGTTCAAATATAACAATGAAATTTGTCAATTGGCTCTAGTTTTTCTGTAAACGGAAAGTTTTCTACTATAGGCGTAATGACTACATAATGCACAATAATTATATAGATAGATGTCTTTCCACAAATATAAAGCAAGTGATATTGACTACATAACAAAGCCTAAATGGCATAATATATTGCATAGGATTACCAAGAAAAATTATAGCCATAAGCTAAGTTTAATCATTTTAATACTTAGGATTCTCACTAGTTTTTGTCTTCAGTTTGTGTCGGTTTTGCTTCTCTTGGCTTTTCTCTTGTATTCGAGGAAAGGGCTATCTCTTACAACTGTCCAGCAATAGTCAGCAAGCATTGATGGGCTCCATTTACCTTGATATCTTCTTTCCATAGCTGCAATGTCTTGATGGAAGCGCTCTCTCCGCGGTTCATCACTCACTGCTCCACAGTTTGGTGGGAAAAAATTCAGATGCAAATGTAGAAAATGAATTTTTAGAGACATGTTGCAAACCCAGATTTCTGTAAGTCTGGATGAGTTTTTCTACCACTTTTTTGTAGTCTGGTGCAATCTTTTTTTTCCATTCAACCATTGCTCCAGTGCCGTCCCACAAGCAAATTGCAGCATATATGTGGTGTCCCCAGCTCTTGTCCTGGTCTCCTATCTTGCATCCAAAATACAAGTTGTAGGCTTTCTTAATCATTCCAAAGGGAATAAACATGTGTATAGCAAAACATGTGTTAAATGCAATACGTTTCGTGAGAAAATACATGATTTCCTGGAGAAATATCAAGGGTGCCAACAATTTCGGCCATGACTGTATGTGGTGCCCAGCTCTTGTCCTGGTCTCCTATCTCGCATGTAGGCTTTCTTAATCATTCCGTGTTATCCTCCTTTTTTGTGAGATAAAAGTTATTTCACCGCAGATATAGCAGAAATTATCTGCTTTATTCACACAAGTTCGAGGCATTACTGAGTAGCCTATATAAGCATAAAACGAAATGTAAAGACGCTGTCGAACTACAATCAGCTACAGATGCTGCAGCTTTTATGCAGTGAAGTGATGCAATTAAAGGCTAATATTGCATCATCTCAGTATACATGCAATTTTCTATTGGTCACCAGTATCAATTGCGCAATATGCAGCTGAAGTTGCATCATAATTTTGAATGGCTTACGTCATTAGATGGGTGAATATATCATGGAAACTAGAGCCAATCAACATTTTTTAGGGTCATTTTCATTTTCAGCACCCCAAAATTATGCAAGATTAGCTAATTTTATGCCCAAAACTTTTTACCTGTTGAACAGTGTAATCAGCGCTGTCATGATTAGCCTACCTGTTAGCCTACCTGCATTTTAATAGATCACAGCTTTAATAATTATATAGTCTGTCACAATAATGAGAGCAGAAAGAACCAGATCAAACAGTGCACAGATCGCACTGAACGTAGGAACTGAGATGCAATTTATTACATAGTACTTACCAATAGTATAGCAAAGCTGGTTAGATGGTTGCATTTACAAACTGTCTGGTTATTATTATTCTGTGTTGTACTGTTCTTTGTACAGCCCTCTGATGACCAGCCACCATTTCCACCTGTGAAGAAAGAGTAATTAATGCAAACACATGGATGGATCCCAATTTTGCCCCAGAGAGTCACTTTATGGGTAACACAATAAACTGCTGCTTGGAAACAAAAAATAGG